GGAACGAGAGAGGTACTCTTGTTCGTCGAGTGATACTAAATTTGTCCTTCATGCTCATCTTTGATTAGTTAGTGAATATACTCTGTCCTATTGATTAAGTAGGCTATACTTTTCATTAATCCGTGTAATATTTCTTTCCCAAGATGTACTCATATGAGAGGATATGATTTATTCAGATTTATTCAGATTTAATATTCTGCAAACATGTACAAAAATTTCTTTTTCTTAAGTACCATATAACGACTTCAGAAAAGCAAGCATTATCAATATTACTTGTTCTATAGAATGGAACTTGTAATATCGATAATTCTTGCTTTTCTGAATTCGTTTCATATTTCCATTTCTTAATATTACTCATATAAAGAACGGAACCAATTTAAGCTGATTTATAGGCTGATTATCTAAACACATGAAATCAATATAGTGCAATTAAGACGATAGCAAAATTCAAATTATAATTTGAAACTTTTAATTTACTCAATCTACAAAAACCAATACTCCAATGATGAATGTCACAAACATCAACACTTAAATATAAATAAATGCGATATTTTTACAAATTCATCGTTTAAAGCTAAACTTGTAAAGATGTATATCTTGGATTACATTCCGCTAAATTGATGTAGTTTACAACAAGATCAAGATACAATTATGATTGGCTGTCTCCAAGTGCAACTGTGTTACATATCAGAGTGATGTTTTTTGCTGTGCTTGAACCTTTAACACATTTTCAACCTCCATAAGTATTATCAGTTATCATTGTACAATGGTATATTTGATAAAGGTGCAAATCAGTATCCTGATTTACAAATCATCAATATGAAGAGATGGAAATATATATACATATATCTCTTAAAAAATTCCAGTATTAAATTTGCATCCTATATCATCTACATGGAATTAATTCTACAGGTCCAATATATAAGTTACTATTTTTTCTCTGGGCAAGAATACTTTCAAGTGAAAAGAAAACATCACACATCAAGATCTACTTAATGCAAAATGCAAATTTTCCTTCATTGATTTTAAGCATATACTCTGCATAGTACCTTTGATTCTTTAGTTCCAATGCTTGAGATATATGTCTGTTTATTACATTGAGATAAATATATGTACTAGGTTTAATTTATGATGACATACAGTCTATAACTTAAAAATTGACATTAAAATTAGTCCAAATGCAGTTGTTGGTTCACAGAACTTTTGTCCATGCATCAGATAATAATCAGCATACCCTCTTTAGAGCTCATTTTCCAAAACGGTCAATTTTAGTGTATAATCCAAAAAATTTTCCATTCAATTATCAATGTTTTCATGGTTTTAGTGGCACTTATAATACAAAATGTGAATTTACTACTATATTTTCCTTTTCTTGGATATATATATATATATATATAATTGCAGTTAGAGATATTCGCAATTCTAAAAATTGAATACATTATATTTGAGAATTTAATATCATGATCTATATGCACGAGTGGGCAGATCATGATTTTGGCCGAGAATAGATAGATGCCGACATGATTGTATCTTCCAAATATATTTTAGTCTGTGTCTGGTGTTCCATTTCCAGCCATATGTCATGCTAAAGGTCTACATCAGAAAATTCATCATTGTGCATTGTTCGAAGACACTCCGGTGGATGATAATAAGTGTGCAGCCATATTGCTTCCGCTCATGATGTCAAAACAAGGACAAGTAGAAGAGAGGTAGGAAAAATAACTTCACATCATCAATTACGTCATGTTGCATTCTCTAATTCATGACCTTGTCATTTTGTTTCACCTTTGGTATCATCCATGCCACTATAACAAGCTTATAGTTAGTCTTGTCAGCCACATATTTGCTCCAACGAAAATCTTCAAGTATCACTACTCCGATATATATTTGCTGGATGACTTCTCCACTTGGGATATCTGCAATTGTTTCAAGAAAATTGGAATTGGTGGATAATGATATTTTAGTTGGATGACTCATTGATTTAGTGATTCGTCCACACGGGCCCGAGGAACGTGATGAAGAACGAGAGAACCCTGCTCATTCAGGAATTTGTCTTGTGGAGAATTAGATACAAATAATATGCATCTAGTGATATTTGCAGACCGTGGTGATGCACTCTACCCATTAGAATACTTATGCAACGCAAGTCTAGCGCTTGTCAAGCTCAAGGTTGTCGTCATGTAAAATTCTTGTTTGGGTTCCCCTTCTGGAAAGTTTGCGAGACGAAGGTTCGCGACGTGCATCCACGACGAGGCATGTTGAGAAGAATGACGCGTTTTGATTCAATCGCTCGAGATATGTCCATACCCGATACGATTCAGAAACATTCGCAAGTTGCACGATCCTGGATACCTCCAACAAAACAAAGGCTGAGAAACAGAGGATTGGCGTGCTCGGTCATTACCTCAACTTTCTCCCGTGGTGTGCAGAAAAGCTCGAATTGCAGGCATGACTTCAAGAATCGGAAGCATGAAGTCCATCCAAAAAACTCGTTTCTTAAATCCATGACGACCTTGAAAGCCGAAATTTCCTGCAGAACCGAATAAAGAACTCTGCCCTCGGGGCGAGTTGCAGAATCACTGGAGTCCCATGGCTCAAGTACGACCGATTATGTTGGACTGCTTCGAATCTACAGAGACTACGGTAGGTATGGCATGAGAGGGCGACCTCGCTGTACCGACAAGTCAGTCCGGAGTGCAGTCCCATGACATGAGACCGTCAAGGAGAATGAATTTGAAATCCTCCAGTATCTGGCTTTTAACACGCAAACTAGATTCTCAGTGGGGCGAGGAATTTGACAGGATCGTACAGCGGTGACAGAGCGGAAGGACGTCGGTCTGTGCGGCCGAACGATCCGAACTTTTGAGCTGCTGCTTGAGCACATGTCGCATCGTTAAATGAAGAGCGTGTTCGAGACACCGAGAGACCTCCCCGAAAGTTTTGAGGGGGCACAAATCATCAATGGAATTTACACCTTACACGATCATCCGTGAGCGTGAGATCACGGATGAGATCACGGATGAGCGCACACAAGTACCATCGACCGGACCGCTATAATGTCAAAAGCACGGGGTCAGAGGGAGTCGGTCAAGGTGGGCAAAGATCCTCTTGATATAAGGACTTGGCGCATTTATGCACGAAAGGTGGTCGTGAAGAAAGAGCGATACGGGATCTGACTCTCCACCCACTCATTTGCCCGCGAGCATCTTAGAATGAGTGCTAATTTGCTCGAGATGAACCTACTTCAGACGTACAATGATAGATGCATCGAATAGAGCCGTGGGTGTACAACAAGCATTCGATATTGCAGAGTAAAATACCTCAGTACGGCGGGGTTGTCGCATGGGAGGACGGTCAATCGAGCAGCCAAAATTCAAGTACTACCGTAGCATTAAAAATTCGGCCTCTTCAAGATGAGAAGCCCACGGTTGCAGGGGGCGCACCGTCACTGCTGGATATTATACCGATACCCAGCAAGTGGTGTTTGGTAAAGTACCGTGCGGACAGCGAAAAACGTGTGCAGAAGAGCTCAATTTCACGTGCCGCTTTCCTCGAGCAGAAATCAAGCATCCATCATCCTCCGAGAGTAGAGAAGCTACACCCAATAGGAACCCGAGTCGTCTTCCGTGGATTACCAACTGCACGTGTGATGTTCGAGCCCACGCTGACTGGTCTTGTAAGGGAGTCTTGCGCATATCGTACAGCTTCTCGTCCTACGCTGCTCAATTGCCGACGTCTTCCGTCATCGGCTCAATAACGGATTGCATCCAGGATACAACCGCAGTCGCGCTTTTCACCAGCCCATGCACATGATTAGGCTTCGTGGTTGGATGGGCGTTGCGTGCCCGCTTCCTGCAGACCATTTCACTTTCGGAAGTAAACGACTTAAGCCTCGACGATATTTCCGGGGGTTGTGTTAATTAATGATCTTTTCACATCAGAGCCCTGAAGTTCAGCCTTGGACGCTCGCTTGTCGAACCCTCGGCACAGCTCACTTTTCCACTTTTCGGCGTTCTCTAATTGCGCTTGGGATCAGGTCGTACCCAGCATCACAGGCCGCTGCGCTCTCATGATAAGTTCAGTCGACACTAAAGAGACTTCGATAAGTTGATGAGGCCACGCTGGGGAGGAGTTATTGCTGCAAAATCGAGTCCTAGGCGAAGGAATTCGCATTCTTGACGTCTTAGGTCGCGACTCCACAAGCTCACAGGCGCACATCACCATCCACGCTTTCACCCGAGATTCCACGCGGTCGATCAGAAGTACAGAATTTGAAATCTTTGGAAAAAGCGAAATTAAATACAGAAGCCAGCGTGAAATTGAAGATGCTGTCACGATTCCGACATCCAGCCTTTACAAGGGGTAAGACTTTTGCACATCCCACCCGGCCGATTCTGTATCGCGTAAGCCCATCGTCACCACGTCTTTGACCAATCGAGCGACACCGCTGACAAATCGCGTGCAGGTCCTTGCAGCGGCGATCCTAGGATGGTAACAGCAGATGCCTGGCACAATCCAATCAGTTCGATTCCAGCAAACGTGCCATTCTGCGCGCAATCTACCACCATCCGAGGAGGTGACATTCCTTGAGATACTGCCATTCACGGATCCGACTCAGACTTCGACGTGTGCAAGGAACGGTGCTTCATCGTGTTGTTCAGCTCTGGCACGATGAGGCTGGCCGAGGGAGTCGTGCTCAGTCGACACTCCTAATCTAGCAAACGGATCAAAATCAGGCCACTCCAGCAGAATGGCCGGCCATTGTCGGTCCAGACGTAAGTTTTTGAATATACGGCTTATACACATTTTATTGTTGTTGCAGATCTAATCCTCCAGAAAGAAAGGTCGAAAAATAGCACCGGATGAATCCACATTTAACCAGCTAAGAGAGTCTGCCTCAAGGCACAACCTCCTCACCCGTTTGAGAGCACAACCCCAAACATAAGGAAAATGGCAAGTACATGCGCAGCCCAACTACGAAGGCCAACAGACGGAAAGCTAAGGACAATTTCACCCTGCTCAAAGCAGCCTCTTTATTGACAGAGATTTGGCACTTTCCAAAATATCACATAACTGGAAAAAGGCAATCTGCAGACTTGGTCTTGCTCCACCATGGGAGACTGGCTCGAGTCAGTCTACAGGCAAGTCTACGACAAGGGGCATCAGGCAAAGATTGCACACCACAACGACATCCCAGAATGCCGAGATATCATGTATCACCGGTTGTTGTTTTCGGCTGCTGAATGTGAAAGAAAGTTGGCCAGAAAGCCAACGAGAAGTAGTGGTCATCACGCAGTGCTCGCAGAGTAGACATTGGCGCCTGACCCACTCTCATGTCATACCATGAAATCAGCTCACTGCAAGACTACAGACTGGAAAATCTCAAAGCCTATTCCACAAGAGTAGTCGGCAAGGTAACATCAGAAGAACAGAAGAAGAAAAGAGTTTCCTTCAGTGCTGCAGGGATGGGATGGGGCGTCCTCGAGTGCATGCCGTGGAGTCATGTGACCATGAGGGGACGAAAGAGACAGCAGCAGCCACCCCGGCTCAGCTGACCGATGATGATGGGATGAACGAACGTAACTGCGAGCCGGGATTTCACCCAATAATATATATCTGGCCAGTGATTACTCAGAAGACAAGTTGAACGAGAATATCAAGTGAAAGGGAATGAGTGTTATGTTTCGAAACGGACCACATCATGCCCCAATTTCCTGCAGTAGCTAGGGTTGACACTTCGAATGCACGTCATGAAAAAAATCTCCACAATAGTTTGAAACTCGGCAGTGCCGGAGATGAGATACTCAAAACAAGTTACCTCAATGGAGGAACTGAAGACCCCTGGGCCTGACTTCGAACGACAAGATGTTCTTTGGTCAGACGAGGTCACTCGTGAATCACGAGGAACACACAGTCATAGTCTGGCAAAGAACCCATCAGCTCACTGCTAAACACTTGAATTGCCCACTCTCACCACGGTCAGTCAATCATAGTGACCTGCAGGATTGAGCTGTTTCAGCAGCCCCACATACGTGAGATAGAGAACCCTATCCTTGGCACCGGTGCGGTGTTTGTGCGTGTGTTTGCAGAAATATTTAAGTTGATCCAGAGTACAAAGACCTAGCGTTTGAGTGAGCATCAGGAACAGCCAGTTGATGTATCGCTTGCGTGGGTGTATGACAGGCTTCACACAGTCGCTTTGGTGGCACATGGAGCAATTGAGCAGGCGGGGGACCATCCAAAGTTTAGGGGCACGGTCATGCATCAGGTCTTTGTTGGCCATGAAATAGTTGTCAAGCTGGAGAAAATACGCCTGCAGATTGTAATCGACCTTCTGACTTCCATCGCACCTCTTGCAAACCACATCTCCTTGAATGCTGCAGATTCCAGATCGTGCGATCCTGTCCAGGGACATCACCACGGCTCTCCTGTCCGTGGCCCAGGGGTAGGGGTTCGCAATTCGCTCCTCTTTAAGTTTTGCGCTGGGTCGATCAACGGAGGTTTGACGAGACGCTCGTCTAGGTCTACTCCGCTCAGGCTCTGATTCAGCTGAGGATGCGGCTTGCGGAGTGAACGTGGGAAGAGGAGGAGCTCGTTCATCGTGATGGTGATGGATATGCTGTCCCGGAGGGGACAATGTCAGTCTCAGAGAGGGCGCCTCCTCTTCCGAAGGTTCACTCATTGAAGGACTTCCCGCCAAGTCAAGCTTGGGACGCTTGTTCCCTGCCACTGTTGCCTCCGAGCTTAACCCCCCAGCTCAGGGTGGTCGTCGTGATGGTGATCTTGCCTGAGCCTGATTCTTCGATACTCCTGAAAAAGACCAAACACGACAAAGGCTCGCACATCACCACACTATCATCACCAACAACAGCTCTAGCCAAATCTACTCCTTTCTCCCTCCTCTCTCTCTCTCCCTCTCTCTCCTTCCTCTTCCTCCACTCAACTCCACTCCACTCTCTCCCCTTCCCCGTCTTCTGTTTCTTCTCCTGGTTTTGCCTCGCCGCCTCGGCCCACGACTAATTTCAAAGCCTACGACGCATTCCAGAGCGATGTGAAATTCAAGAGCCACGGACAGAACGAAAGAGCAAAAGATACTCTCCTTGATCCTCAAGAGCGCTAGCACAGCACAGCACAGCACGAGCACGAGCACCTAAATCTCTGTAGGAAGCCAAGAGATCTCGAAACGCACAGTCAAAGGGAAACCTACTCAGCACACCATCACAATCTCTGCACACGGGGACGGCACAGCGCGTGCGCACGCATCAAACACCACTCCGCTGAGTGCACTAGGTCGGCCGAGCGCGCAACCCTCGACGACAGAGACAATTGGGCTGTCCAGGTACCGTTGCAACAGCAGGTTGACAAACATATCTTAGGGAAGAAGATCGGCACACGTACGGTAGATACGCGCTACCAGCCCAGCCCAGACCCTTGCCCCATGCGCCTTTGCCTTGGCCTTTGCCTTTCAGTCCGACGGGCAAAGCCAAGCTTAAAAAAGGTGATCAGAATGAATGTTCAGATAGATAGATAGCCAGGCGGACAGACAGACGGGCCGCGTGGGGGAGCGGAGTCGAGGGCAGGGTCGAGACGGGACGAGACGAGACGAGACGAGCCGAGCTGAGGGGAGGGGAGGGAGGGCAGACAGCAGGAGGAGGAGGTGGAGGTGGAGGTGGTGGTGGGTGGGGGGAAGCGAGAGAGCGAGGGAGGGAGCGAGCGGGGGCGGGGATGGGATGGGATGGGATGGGGATGGGGATGATGGAAAGGCAAGGCAAGGGAAGGGAAGGCAAGTGAAGGGACGGGATGGGACGGACAGACAGACAGAGACGAGACGAGACGCACCTCGAGGCAGGCAATTCTCCCTTCCTTCGGTTCGTTGCTTCGTGGCCTGCTACGCCAAACGTCTCCGGGCGGCTTTAAGTCGATCCATCATCATCCGGCTCCGGCACATCTTCGTTCTCTACGAAGCGGAGGCCGAGTTGAGGCGCGTCTGTGCGGAAGCGACCGAGAAGCATTTCCTTATCTGAACACCGAACAGTCGGGGCCAGAGGGCGTGTCAGATGGCGAGGAGGAGGAGCGTGGGAAATTGAGCGAAGTTGGAGGGAGAAGGGCGCGGAGCGCGGGGAGAAAGGACAGGACCCCGGCGAGAGGCGAAGCAGGCAGGGAGAACGGTGAGGGAGCGAGGCGGAAGGCGGAGGGCGGAGATGCTGTCTCGGCTAGACGCTCTCGGTCCGTTGTAGGAAAAGGACATGAGCAGCGCTTAAGAAGGCCCCCTTCCTTTTCCCTTTCTTTTCTCCCTTCGTAATCCGCTTCAGGTGGAAAGCAAGGGAATAGATGACAAAGTGGAAAGAGCACCGGCGAGCGGCAGGCGGAAAATCAAAGGCTGCAAGCAGACAGGATAGTGCGGACAGCACAAGGTCCCTCTGCTCGACCAACTGAGAGGCAGCGCGCGAGGGAGAAGAGTCGAAGCGGACAACGCTCCACAGCACACCAGAACAGGCCCTAGATTACCTCGCGATTCAACAGCGCACGCGAGGCCGGAAGACAACGACGGATGCACCGTGGGGGAAGAGAGCCTGTGAGAGAGAGGGGAGGGGGGAGACCGGGGAGAGGGAGCCAGCCAGGGCAGGAGTGTAGGGCAGGAGCGAGCCCGACGAAAATTAAATATGAGAAATGGATATTGTGGCTTAAATGAGAACAACCCCGCTCGATTCGTCTGGTGGTGCTCCCCCTACAAGCCCGAGTACTAAGAGTAGGGTGGGTGCGGTACAGTAGAGGAGGCTTCGGCCAAGCGACACCCACGACCGGTACAGCGCAGTCCGATACAGGGCCGAGTGGTTCGAACTCGGAGCACTGGTTCGGGCGAGGGGGGCAGGATCGCGAGGCGGTGAAAACCCACACAACGACGACGACAATCCAAAGACAGAACCACGAAGAAAAGGGAATATTTTGGATCCATGCCTGGGCCTCGGAGGCAGACGCGGAGGACTCGAAGGGTGGGACTGCCAAGGAACCCCGGCTCGACGGAGGGCCGAGGCAGGCTACGAAGGTCGTGTATTAAAGAAGCGGAATGGCAGGACTTAACGGAAGTGGCAAATCCTACATACGAGTGAAGGGCGTCTGAAGGTACGGTATTGCATTATGGTAATTAATGAGGTGCCAGAGAGTAAAACTCAAAACCGGCCTCCCTCGAACAGCAGGGCCAGTATTTATGGCCGGTTTCTGGAGCGCGGCGCGTGGGTTCAGTTATGTCAGTATCCGGCACGTGTGCGGATGCGGCGGCTCTGTCTACAGAGTTTGTGCGCACGCGCGTGGGCGTGCGCGCTTCCGCGCGGCTATTCGGACAACTACGCAGTTCGCCTCGCAGTAGTAGGGGCGAAGCATACGACCGTCTGTGCATGACACGGGCATGTACTCGTACGAATCTTGAACAGCACGTACAGTACAGGAGGGGGGAACCAAGGCGAGGACGAGGAAGGAAAGGAGGCAGGAGCCAAGAGAAGACTTGGCGACGAAAGTGATGGTGGTGTGATGTGACGAAGCCTCCAGCGATGGCACGTGCTACGAGGAGTAGGGCCTTCCGCTCGGTGATGCCACATTGTGACGCTTACGCTGGGATGATTCCGTTTCCCCAGCTCTGATCTCGTCTGGTACATCACAATCGCATGCTTGCTGCGTCACTCTACCGTCGTCCGAGCAAATGCGGAGCGAGCAGAAGTAGAAGAAAAGGCGAGGAATGGCTCAGTCAATATGACGAGTTGACCTGACCGAACAAACTCCCCCACGCAGGTCCCAACCACACCCCTCCCTCCCCTCCCCCCTTCCAGGCACCACTCTCACTCCACATTGTTGTTCTTGCTTGCTGCGTGAGGTGCCATGGACGCGGCCGAGGCAGCGGGAGAGCGACCTGGTTTCACCGAAGCCAGATAGATGCCGATGAGCCTCATGCCGCACCTGAACCTCCGGTATTCTCTGGTAGTCATGCACAGTGATGCTGCCCTTACTGGCGTCTTGTGTTTCTGTGGTGATCGCCTGGAGTACGATGACGGAGGAGGGCATGTAGGTTGGGGCTGCCTACTATCAATTATCTGTCTGTCCGTGCAGCACTTCCTCCAGTACAGAAGGGAGGGGATCGGCTTTCGTATTGTGGGGCTGGGCCTCGCCTCGCCTCTGGGATGGTATGGGGGTAGCAGACCAGAGCGGAGCACACTTCCGGGTGATCGTAGGGCGAACGAACCGAACCAGTTTCTTTTAGCGTGCACCGAAACCACCTTCTCGATCCGCTTTCTTTATTAAGAAGGGCTTTTAATAGCGCGCTCTGAAAATGCTTCTGACTGAATCTTTCGTGATTTGTGGACAGCCGATCTTTTTTCTAGACCATGTTCGTCCGTAGAGGATTTTGAGGTCTTGATAAGACGAGCACGCAAATTTCCGTTTTAGGGGCGGCGAGTGTGATGCAAGTACATGTAGGCTGCAGAAAAGTCGATACAGTCCAGACCACCAAACAAACAGACCTCATCAAACGGTGGGCGAATCTTCGAGCAAAACACCCCACCCGCAGAAAACAACCTGTTTTGCGAAACGAACTCCAGCCTGATGAGCCGTTTTGTCGAGGCCCCATTGCCCCGTCACCCCGACTGTCCATTGACTCCCGTCATGCCAATACTTACCCACTGTCAATCTCGAACCGGCAGCGGCAGCAGCAGCAGCCAGCCAGCCCTAACTGCACCAGTCCAGTTTGTACCAGTGTGCGACCAAAGTTAGTCAAATTCCTTTACGCATGATTGACGAACTGTCGGGAGGAAGGATGACTTGAACTTCCGCTCGAACTGTCTTTTCATCGCAGCACAAATAGGGCATTTGTCTTCACACTTCTAGGTCCTCAAGGGCGGAAGCGCATAGGCGTACAACAGTGTAGGGGGGTAATGTAGTCTCGGTACGGTGGGGGCTGGCGAGTAATGTTGGTCAAACGGGGCCTCGTAACATTTTGCTTCTCACAATTTCCGCTCCCACAATGAGGGCGCATCTTTGTATCCGCCCCGGCACTGCTACGGAAGCGCGGGGAAAGTCATTTCTCCTGCCCACCGCGAGGCGAATAATATATTTTAGTGCTGGAATTCGGTAGGGCCCCGCGTCTGAATTATCAGACAGGGGTCAAGGGCCCTCCCTGTCAAGTCCATGACAAGGCTTTCTTCCCCTAGCAGCAGCTGCAGCAGCGAGTAAAAGCGTCGCGAATCTGCAGCCGTTGGCCAGATCTTTTCGCAACTACTTTTTCTTAGCGCTCGTCCCCGGTCTTGACACTCTTGCCAGTCAGTCGGTCGTGCTTCATTCGTGCTCTGCTCTGCTCTGCGCTGCCCGAGCGAACGCTTGGTTTCTGTTTCTCTTTCCCCTGTCTGGACCTCTCTCTCTCTCTATCTCTCCATTGCTCTTTTTCTTTTTCTTTTTCTCTCTCTCTCAGTTGGCGTTTTGTTTTTTTACGGGAGGGGGGCCTGAGGTGCGATCGCGGTAATACGGCTTCGCTCGCTCGCTCTCTGTCTGTCTCCTGGGCGCGGTCCGGCGTGGATCCTCGATATCTGACTCGGGCTCGGTCATTCGCTCGCCCCAGCGACTCCCCACCCACTCCCTTGGCTGCACATCGTCTGCGCGGACTTGCCCGTGGTTACGAACGGACTCGGGGGGCAGTCCACAGTAAAACCGTTCCGACGGATTCCACAGAACTTTGACGTTACTCCGGCGCATGATCGAAACCAGACGTCCGTCGAGGTCGTTCAAATTCTGGGGCTAGGGGTTCCCAAATATAGCGGTCGTCTGCCATGCAAGCCAAGGGCGCTCTGACCCTCGCAAATCCAGCTCTGTAAAGTTTAGGCTCCCTTGGACTACCTCATTTACGCCAATGCCTTGCGACCAAATCAAATTGGACATGGAACCCAAAAACTCGAACCTTGTGAGCTCGGCCGGCCATTACTCCACTGCCCCACAACACACCACTATTTGGAATCTACCTTTTCTTCGTCGATGGCCAAAAGGTGAGATTCTCGTCGTCGCCCTCCCTCCCTTGTTGAGGATAATGGGGAACCAGACCTCTGGCACTTGACCTGTCTGTCGCTGATACACAATTGCCAAGCTCTGCCATTTATTGTCCTGCGCTAAAATTAGCTGGCGCAATTCAACTTGCGTCGAGCATGGATAACCTTCCTCGTCGCTGATTTCTCCCCTAAGCCGGGTGGTAACACTCATCAGCCTCCGGTTTTCCAAATTCACCTGCTCGTCTCGTCTTAGCCACCCCCACGCCCTCACTAAACGCCGAGCCATTTGCTAATAGCATTTTGATGACGTCCGCCGCTGACGCCTCCGCTGACGTGATCACCCCGACCTGCTCTCCCGGTTCGAACCCACCTACAGCTGCCCGTCCTGACGGCGTCGGGACAAGAGGGGCCGGATAGTCGGTTCCCCATCTTTCCTGCTTGTATTTCGGACCGGGATTTGGCCGGGACCACCATCCCACTCCCCTCACCCGACACGCCAGCCCCGTGCCTAACTTTACCTTAACGGTATTCGCTACCGCAACCGCACCCTCTTGCAAGTCTCCTCGTTTACAACTTCAGGCCCCGTGTTATCTCCATCGATCCCCACTCACTCCTAACCTGCAAGTCTCAAGCGCAGCCCATTGCTTAGCCCCTAATCTATGAATCCAGAGTCCAGCCTTTGCTGGCTGCCTTCTCGATCGATCCTTCGCCATGCGGATTCCCTCCATCTACATGAAGCTGACGATTGGTAGGGTACAAAAACAGCTCGACACGCATGATCCGACATTGTTCCGAGACTTCACTTCAAATAGAAAATTGATCCCTTGCAATGTGCGCGTGAAGAGCGAATGTGCAAGGCTATCATTATTTTTCTATGGCATTTTTCATGATTCATATATTGCAGAGAGCGTTCACATAAATCTCCTACATGTATTTTCTTGTTTTCTTTTCTCGGAGTAAAGCAAGGGAT